TAGGGGAAGTTTGCTAAATTGGCCAAGAGCTTGCCTATGGATAGCCATGCAAGCTTATAATCCCAAGGATGTATTTCAGCCTAGAGTTGTGCCCAGAATGTTTTTAATACATTCCAGCATTGGAATTTTTAATGCTTTTCACAATTTAAAGTACTTGATAGTTTTGGCTTTCCTTGAAACCCAAGTAGGTTATCCACCTTTTAAACCCAGATATGCTTAGTTATATGGGCATAGCTCCAGGTTACTAAAACCCAAGTGTGTAAAGTGAAATGCACTAAAGCAAGCTTTATTCTTCGTTCTATTGACTAGATTGAAATAACTTATGGTCATTTACCTACTTGTACTTTCAACATTATAATCTAAAATGGAGAAGCCTTGCTTGGCCCTTATGGTGTATATATATTTTTAGTAAATCGTGAGCAAGGATGTATCTTGTGCCCTTGTTTACACTGGTTTCCTTCATGGAATTTTCATGCAGAGAAGCAATCTCTGGGGACCTCATGCTGTCTATACCCAGCATTTTGACTTTAAGGGGCATATCAGTATCTAAAGATTAGCCGATGCTCCCTAGTTTCCCTCTAGGAACCAACTGAAGACTTTGGAATTAAGCATGTGAATTGGCTAATAAAGGCCACTAATCCATCTGACGAAAACCCTAAACCATTTTTCTACTTGCAGATAATGGGGCTGACCCTTGTAATGGCTTTGGATGGGTAAGTGGCTGAAACGAATTTTGCATACATGTTTTGCCAACTTCAGGTGATGGTTATTAAGAGAATTTAAACCTACAGGTCCGAGTGCCCTGGGGAAGGGAGATTTTCTGATGCCAGCACGTGTGGTGGCTTTATCGAGTGCATAGCTGACAAGACTGGTGGCTACAGTGTGAAAAGGGACCACTGCAATGGATATGTCTACAATGCTACATCCATGACTTGCTCACAAACACTGGTATGGTATCTTTTATAATGGCCACTTTGTATTAATGACCATGGACAGGTACTTATGATTGCCTTCTGCACCCGCAGTGTGACTCGCGTCGGGAACGTAGCGTTACCAACGACTACCATCCCTTGTCGCAAGTGTGTGAAAGCCAGCCTGACCGTTTCCTGTGTGCCAACTGCAAGACCTTGGTTCATTGTGTAATGGGGCAAGCCTTCGTTCGTCAATGCATTAAGGATTTCTACTGTACAGAAAAGCCTGGCTTTGGAGGTGCTGTATGCTACCCTGATGAACCAGCTGCTTGTCTGTGTTTGAATCCAAATGAGTTTCGTGTGGATCCCTACGACCCACAGAGGTTTTTCTCGTGTACAAATCCTGGCTCCCAACCACAAAGCTACAAATGTCCAGATGGTATGCAGTTTGATGAGAACTCTGCCCAGTGTCTAAGCAAGAGTGGCTACCCACAATGTGTAAAATCTGGAACCTTTGCCAACACCCAAAACTGTGGGGAATACTACTCTTGCACTTCCTTGATGCAAGGCTGGGTGCAGAAGTTCTTCATGTGCAGTGGAAACCATTTGTTCAACGAGAGAACCAAGAAATGTGAAGATCCTTGCAGCTTGAAATTTGTGTGCCAACGAGAGGGAAGATTTCCAGACCCTCTCAACATGCAGCATTACTTCGAATGCTTCATGGAATCTGGCAAAATGGTAAAGCAGCGTTACCAGTGTCCCAGTGGTTACATGTGGTCTGAGGAAAGCTTTGGAACAGGGAAATGTGTGGAGGCAACAGATGAGTACTTGGGTTATCCATTTGCTCACTGCGACATACCTGATGACCTCTGTCCAGAAACTGGTAAGACTATTGATTAGTATTATGAACTCTTGCATACAAATTTTAGTAGAACTATTACATCATCCATATTGCAACTTGCAGATCCATGTCTTCAGAATCCTTGCTACAGTGGAGTTGCTTGCACTTTCACAAGTGTAGCACCTTTCTACACCTGTGGTGCATGTCCTGCAGGATTCACTGGTGATGGAGAAACGTGTGATGCTCTACAGGTGAGTTTTTGTTTGTGCACAACTATATTTCATTAGTATTCCATATACTAACCTGCAAGGTGTAAATGTTTTAGTTAATCTTGTAAGATACAAAGTTGGCAACGAACATGGGATTACAAGACCATGTATAATTAACCAAATTATTAGGTTATAAGATGCTGCTTGTTTAATAAGATCTTGTATGGGGAAGGATTAGTAGGCTACATACTTGCTGGTTGGTGGCACATGTACATAGTTAATGTTTTGTAAGGTGGCAACTTAAATAGTGTTAGATTATTTAGTTTTTATTACTCGTAATATGATATATTGTATAAAACTAGCTTTTTATAATTGATTTGTTTAATGCATTTTACCGAACTAAACTTAAACCAATATCAACAGTGCCCTGTTGGATTTGCTGGTATTGGTGGCGACTGTGCCCCTGACTCTGACCTCGACGGCTTCCCAGACACTGAACTAGGATGTTCGAGCAAATACTGCCGTAAGGATAACTGCGTCAATAGGCCTAATTCGGGGCAAGATGATGCTGATGGGGATGGACTTGGTGATGCTTGTGATGCCGATGCTGATGGAGATGGATTGAACAGTAAATCGGTATGAAAGGCTGCTGCTGAATTTGACACAGCTTGGCTAGAGGTAAAGAGAAGTTCTCATGGTGAACAATTCCTTTCAGGACAACTGTCCTCTGACCCCCAACTCTAAGCAAGAAGATGCAGACTCTGATGGACGAGGTGACGTCTGTGACAACTGCCCTGCTATGTCCAACCCAAGCCAGAGGGATATTGATGGGGACCAAATTGGAGATGACTGTGACGATGATATCGACAATGATGGTATGATTAATTGAATAAAGGGTGCAATTCTTAATGGTTTCCCCAATAAGGGTTTCCCCAATAAGGTTTGCTACAAAATTCTTTCTTCAACCAGGATCCCTGAATGCAGCTGACAACTGTCCCTTGATGGCCAATAGTAACCAGGCAGATGCTGATGGTGACGGCCTTGGAGATGTATGTGACAACTGTCCCCTAAATCCTAATCCTGGACAGGAAGATGTTGATGAAGATCTTCTGGGAGATGCATGTGATGACAATATTGACTTGGATGGGTAAGGGTGGATAATTTTTAAAAGTAGATTACATGGTAATACTGATACAATAAAATAGAATAAATCCTTGCGCCTTGCCTTTTCAGTGATGGTGTGGAGGACAGTGCAGACAACTGCCCATCTGTAGCCAACAGTAACCAGCAGGATGTAGACGGTGATGGCGATGGTGATCTATGTGATTTAGACAGTGACAATGATGGCGTTAATGACCCTAGTGACAACTGCTTCCTTCTACCTAATCCGGGCCAAGAAGATGCTAATGGTGACGGCCGTGGTGATGCTTGCAGCACCGACTTCGATGGTGACAGAATAACTGATGCAAATGACAATTGCATAAAGAACCCCAATGTATATGCTACAGACTTTAGGTATTAAAACGTGCCTAGTCTCTAGTAATGGTCATCCACAAGCTAATTTAGTATATTGACCAATAACCAACTCTCCAATGGAGACTTGCTAGTGACCTTTTGCATCATAACTAATCGACTTTTAAAACTTCAGGCAGCTCCAAATGATAGCTTTAGAACCACAAAGTGCAAGTGACCCTCCAGTATGGGTAGTCTACGACAATGGTGCTGAGATTCATCAGATCGTAAATTCTGATCCAGGTCTAGCCATAGGTATGTACATTTCATCTTATTTAAACTTGCTGTTAGTGCCTACCTTGTAGACCAACTCTCTTAAAACTAATTTTTTTTTTTTTTTTAGGCAATGACGTCATGAATGATGTAGACTTTGAGGGAACTTTCTTCATTGAAGATACCAGTGATGATGACTTTGTTGGCTTCGTATTTGGGTAAGTTAAACTGCCTGGAACAATAGAAGATTGTGATTGCCTGTGCCTGCCGTCATGCTAATTTAAATATTTTGTACAGCTACCAAAGCAATGCCAAGTTTTATGTTGTGGCATGGAAGAAGGGACCACAGGACTGGTTTAACAAGGCTGAGAGGGGCATTACCTTGAAGCTGGTGGACTCTGCTACAGGCCCTGGCCCAGCACTTCGGGATGCTCTGTGGCTAACTGGTACCACACCAAATCAGGTGAGGCATTTCTCCTGAATGTGTTGACCATGTTTTGTAATGTGGGGAGGGGGTGAGAATGCATATTTACCTTACGACCGTGCATTTCAGGCAACCTTGCTCTGGCATGACGGCAGCATTGGCTGGTCCCCAAATGTGGCCTACCGCTGGCAACTTCACCACCGTCCTGATATTGGCACCATCAGGTTCTATTTGTACCGGGGTAATAATGAAGTCATGGACTCTGGCAACATTTATGATGACTCCCTGAAAGGAGGAAGACTAGGACTGTACTGTTTCTCGCAAGAGGAGATTATTTGGTCTAATGTGAAGTATACTTGTGAAGGTAAGGGCTTTAAATGGTCTGGTATTGCTTTACAGGCAAAGACTGCATTGCAGCTATTAAATAAATTGCTAGATGCCCTGAACTATTAAGGCTTAGGCAAGCTAGGGTTGAGTGTTAACATGACTTCACTAAACTCTTGTACTACAAGGTCACTCGAATTAGGTTAAATTTCTTGTAAGAACTGCCTGCTATACCTCTATCTAGTCTCTGCACCTAGACTAGTCTGTACATTTAAGCAATTTCAACCTAGTCTTTCATCTTGCAGATGGCGTCCCCCAAGAAATGTTCGATGACCTACCACAAAACCTTAAGGATCAGGTGCTAAATACTACAGGTATTAGCACAAGAAGTCTCTTTACCATTGGTGGGATGGGGGCTCAGGATAGATCTCTATTTCAGGAACCTGAAGGAGAGAATGGAAATCGTGCATCAAATGGCAAACCCAGAATGAATTGGGTCCAGAAGCCTTGCAATTAATTTTAGTTTACAAATTGTGGGAAGAAATTAATAAATTTAATTTTAATATCTTGTGACTTTCTATGTTCCTAGTGATTTAGGAATACTAGTGTTGCCTTTAACCCACAGCCTCCATGTGAATAAGCTGTGCCTTACAGGCTGGTTTATCCAGCCAATAGAATGGCTATAAATTACACACTGCACCTTAAATGATGGCACTGTATAATTGCTTTAACAACAGTTGAATGTCTTGTCAAAGATAAATGTTAAACCTGCTTTAATAACCCACCACTGACTTTTGGGTGTCATGATGAGTAATACATGGACTAGCTTGTATACAGGTAGTGATGTAAAGCTACTTGAATAGCCTCTGGACATTTTGGCACTTCAGGCCACTTCAAAAGAGGTAAAAGACCGACCTCGACCGTCAATGAGACTAATCGTGCATACCCGTCTAATCAGTGCGAGATCCTTACTGAAAGGATGTAATGCTAGCTCTATAGATCCTGAATGCAATTCATAAGGTTTGTCTTGCCTCCATTACAATACGAAGAGGAAACAATGGCCATCTAAATGGTTCCCCATGTTAACTGATCCCCTTTACACAACACTACTTTAGCGAGGTTCTGGATGAACCAGCTTGGGATCTCCAGGACAGATTCGTCTCCATCCTTTCTACCCCTTCAAACTACCCTATCCTCCGAGACCTATGAAGCCTTTTCTCTGCTGTACTACCTCAACTCTATTCCAACAAACCTCCAAGTAGTAGGCAGCATTTTCCTTGAATATCTGCGATTGTTCCTGTTAATGATAAATGTTGGTACAGCAAAATATTATGAATATTAAGTTTCATTCGGGGGGGGGGGAATTGACTGACCATGGCCAAACATAGGGTTACTCCTATCTGATTTTGCATGGCCATTTTCCCCTGTAACTTCCCCCTCTTGCCAAGCATTTCTCGCCCCTTTCTCCAACCAAAGAATTCGCCATGTACAGTTGCAGAATTATATTTCGGTATACTTTCTGGGTCCCACTTCTGTACATCTGGCAATCAATCGAAGTAAACCACATAAATAGTATTGTGAATGAGGCTAAAACCCTAGGTAGTTTGTAACCGTGTGATTGGTCGAATGTAAATAACCAATGAGTAACTAATATTTTTGAACTAAGTAAGCCATTTAATCCTGTTTTCTTCAAATAAGTGATCACAAAACATGTAATACTAGTTATCGTTGATTTTGTAGTTGGATATTCCTGCAACAGGAACAACGAAGGGAAGGGCAAGAAAACACACGAATATGCCGAAGGCCTTTTCGCTATTGCTTCGTCAGGGCATACACTACAAGAGGTACATGGAATATATATACAAATACTGGGTAGTCAGGTCACGTCGGTATTCAGGTGAGTGACGACCTTGGCTAGTTCGGTGCCCCCTGTAGCGGTGTTGATGCTGTTAGTGTGAATTAACGGTGCTTCTACCATCTTTCTTTGTCGTGGGGCCAGGCCTTGCTTTATGATGGAGGCCTGGGACCACTTCGGGAGGTGACCGTCGGTGTCTACGTGAAACAAGGCACTCGTGTCATGGCGTCGGAGAGCGCTCCGGTGTTGGCTGATTCGTTGTTCGTGCAGTCCTCGTGCTGTCTCGCCTATGTATACCTTATCACAGCCCCCACAGGGTATGCTGTACACCTGGCTGAGGGGTCTGTTGTGGTTAGACCTCTTTTTTTCTCACGAAGTCTCCGATCTTCTTGCCTGAAGACCAAGCCATCTTGAGAGTACGGCCCACCAGGGCCTCAAGGTGCTCAGTCAATTCCGAGTGGGGAATGATTATCCTGAGTTCTGCTGTCTCCTCACCTCTCGGTCTGCTCATGATCTCGGCCTTGCGTCGGAGGTTGGTTAGCATGGAGCGGGGATAGTGGAGGTGTTGGAAAGTGTTGCAGACGTGTTGCATCTCTTCCTCCAAGAACTCAGGGTTGCATATTCTGAGGGCTCGGAGGAAGAAACCAATGACCACGCCTTCTTTGGTTCTCTTGCTATGGGCAGAAAAATAGTGAATGAAATCAATTTTACTGGTGGGTTTACTGTATACTGAAAATAATGGTCCATCTGGTCTTCTGTGGATCATGGTGTCCAGGAAAGGGAACTGTTCATCCCTCTCTTCTTCTGTGGTGAACTGGATGGAGGGGTGCACTGCATTGAGTCTGTGGAGGAGATCTGGCAGGTTCGTCCTGGTAGGTACTACAGCGAGGATGTCGTCCACGTAGCGGAGCCAGACCACGTTCCTTCCCGATAGTGGTCGGCCTCGAGGGTTTCCATGAACAGCTGGGCAAGGACTGCTGAAAGTGGTGAACCCATCGTAAGTCCCTGGATCTGAATTCGAACGCGCCAAACTCCACGCAGAGACGGATGAGTTCGACGTAATCGTTTAACTGCAGTGGCAGTTCGTCCTCGTCCATTCTTCTCAATGCTCGTTGTGCAGGTTTGATGGCCCCGTCGATAGGTACGTTCGTAAATAGCAACTTGACATCGAAGCTGACGAGCTTTCTACATTTCATGCCGACACCTTGCAGTTTGGCCATCATATCCAAGGTGNAATCAACCATCTTTTTATGCTATCTGTCTGTTTACCTACTCATATGTATTATCTATCTATGTGTGGAAATCATGTTGAAACAGATTGCAAAAGGGAACGACGAAGGGAAGGGCAAGAAAACACACGAATATGCGAAGGCCTTTTCACTATTGCTTCGTCAGGCATATGTTACATGAGGTACATAGAGGAGTATATATACAACTACTGGGTGATCAGGGTCACGTCGGTAATCAGGTGAGCGACGACCTTGGCTAGTTCATGGCTCCCGTAGCGGTGTTGATGTTGTTAGTTGTATGAATGAACGCCGCTTCTACCATCTTCCTTTGTCGTGGGGCCAGGCCTTGTTTTATGATGGAGGCCTGGGACCACTTCGGGAGGTGACCATCGTGTCTGCGTGAACAACGAAAGCGCTTCTCGTGTCATGGCGTCGGAGAGCGCGCTGCGGTGTTGACTGATACGTTGTTCGTGCAGTCCTCGTGATGTCTCGCCTATGTATACCTTATCACAGCCCCCACAAGGTATGCTGTACACCTGGCTGAGGGGTCTGTTATGGTTTGATCTCCTCTCTCTCACGATGTCTCCGATCTTCTTGCCTGAAGACGTAGCTATCTTGAGAGTATGGCCCACCAGGGCCTGCAGGTGCTCAGTCAATTCCGAGTGGGGGATGATTATCCTCTGAGTTCTACTTTGTGTGTCCTCACCTCTCGGCCTGCTCATGATCTTCTCGGCCTTTCGTCGGAGGTGGGTGAGCATGGAGCGGGGATAGTGGAGTGTTGGAAGGTGTTGTAGACGTGTTTCATCTCATCCTCCAAGATGCAGCCCTGAGTTCTTGGAGGATGAGATGAAACACGTCTACAACACCTTCCACACCTCCACTATCCCCGCTCCATGCTCACCCACCTCCGACGAAAGGCGGAAGATCATGAGCAGGCCGAGAGGTGAGGACACACAAAGTAGAACTCAGAGGATAATCATCCCCACTCGGAATTGACTGAGCGAGCACCTTCAGGCCTGGTGGGCCGTACTCTCAGGATAGCTACGTCTTCAGGCAAGAAGATCGGAGACATCGTGAGAGAGAGGAGATCAAACCATAACAGACCCCCTCAGCCAGGTGTACAGCATACCTTGTGGGGGCTTGATAAGGTATACATTAGGCGAGACATCACGAGGACTGCACGAACAACGTATCAGTCAACACCGCAGCGCTCTCCGACGCCATGACACGAGAAGCGCTTTCGTTGTTCACGCAGACACCGATGGTCACCTCCCGAAGTGGTCCCAGGCCTCCATCATAAAACAAGGCCTGGCCCCACGACAAAGGAAGATGGTAGAAGCGGCGTTCATTCATACAACTAACAACATCAACACCGCTACGGGGAGCCATGAACTAGCCAAGGTCGTCGCTCACTGATTACCGACATGACCTGATCACCCAGCAATTGTATATACTCCTCTATGTACCTCATGTAGCATATACCCTGACGAAGCAATAGTGAAAAGGCCTTCGGCATATTCGTGTGTTTTCTTGCCCTTCCCATCTATCTATGTATGAGTGTAGCCTCGAACAAATCTCTAGCGACTGCTCACGGACTCGTTAAGACTTTTTAAAAAGAAAATCAAAATTAATGCGTCTTTCTTTGATTTTTCTCAAGCAAGTGACGTTCTGCCGAGACGCGGATTGTTCAGGACTCTTAAACTCTTAACACTTTGGGCGTGGAATGGCGAGGGCGGCAGCAGGAGTTGCCACGTAGCGTATTAAAGGGCATATGTGAAGTAATTATCGTGCGTTGTTTTTTTTTGAATATTGTTCAGTAATGTATGCTTAGCCTATTCATGCAAAAAAAAAAATTCGAAGAGACCCTCTGGTATCCCCAAAAATCCGATAGCAACGCCCTTAGAAACGAAGATGCAAAACCCGGCGGGTCTTCGGCAATCCCCGGTTGTGACGTCATTTCCAGGACCAGGAGAGAATCTTGTTGCATAGCGTGATACACACAGTGCACCCGTGAGTCAAGGATATCATGGACTTGTCCCAGTTTCAAGCCATCAAAGTTTGTAACAAATGATGCCGCGCATTTTGTGTAGCAATTCATTGTTTCCATCATGTCACCAGCTATTTGAATGGCAAGGAAGTGGACACGTTTTGTGGATGCCAAGCGGAGCAACTTTCAGCCTGTGCCAACCAGCGTACTTTGCCTGAAACACTTCGAGTCCGATTGCTTTTGCGAACAGAATGGCTTACGACATGGGATTTGCAAAACGGTAGGCCATTTCTAATCTGTATTTGTCTCGATCACACAGCGCAAAACAAACTCTGAAAGAGCGCATTTGCTTGGCGGCGTAGCAAACATTCATTGCGTGGGTACGACACAGTGTGCCGAGTGCATTGCAAGTGTGCATGTATTACTACACAGAGGTAAGGTAGATATACCCCCAAAAAGCACACACAAATAAATACCGTTGCCCCTCCACTTGCG